AGGTGAGCGAGGGGCCGGGCCCTCTGCACGGTAGGGCAGCGCAGGGCCTTGGGCTCCACTGACCGCGTGGGTCTCAGGAGGCGGGGAGAAGAGGCACAGGGCTGACCCGACCCGGCAGGGCGCGTGGGGAAGCTGGAGACCACTTCGTGCAGTCAGACCCGGCCGCCAGGTGTCATCAGCTGCAGATGCAGCTCCTGGGGCCTTCAGTTTCCCCCTGTGTAACTGTGGGGATGGCAGACATTCTTGCTCTGTTTTATGAAAATAAGACTCGAAATATCATTCTTAGAGCCATTAAGCTGTTTATATTTATAAGATAGTATTGTTGAGAAGTAAATGAAGATAATCAACACAGATTGGTGATTCAGTGTTAGCCACATGGCAAACCCGGTCTGCAGAGTTCCTTTTCAACTTCACTCACCAGTGAGAGACAGTGTTGTGCGAGTCCTCCAGATTATCAGCAAGCAGAGACAGGATTCATACCCAAGACTGGGGATATCCGATTTTTGATACAGCATCAAGTTATTTCCTTTGTATGTGATGAATACTTAAGTACTGTATTCAGAGCTTAATTAATAGAGACAGAATTCAAACTCAGTCTATGTTCCCATGTCAACGTCATCAAAATTGATTTATTATATCAATTATCATTATATTTCTGTCATTATATATATTATCATCATAGTTCTGTAATCGTTATTTCTGTTATAGTGGATAAGTTGAGGGCTAAAATCACGGCATGTGTAAGTTTTATTTCATACCAGAAAATTAACATATAAAAACGTAAAATTTCTCAAAAACATTTGAGATTTAATGTAATCTGACCTAACCCTTTAAAAGAGAAAGTTACTTGTACTATGTCTATTATCTTCCAATTTCATTCATGGGAAGAATAATTAATAAAAATCAGGACATGCCAATAAGCAAGATTCCCTGTGAAATAGTCTGTTAAATCAGTGATCGATAAAACATTTGAGTTATTTTAATAATATTAGGAATGTGCATATATTTTTCCACTCATCAAGAAAATTGCCATTTTCAATATCATCTCATATTACAAATAATTCTTATTCTTGTAATTGCCATTAATATGGGCCTAGAGGATAAATTCAAGTAAACATTTCCTCTAACCCTGTCATGTGAATTGTACCAGTAATCTGTTGATTTAGCGATTTTTACCCTAAATATCTGACACAGGCTGAATACTCCTGGCCCCTACAACTACCAAATCCATGTAAAATATGAAGATAGCAAAAACAGAAAATGACCCAGGAAGAAAGAGTTCCATTCATTTTGCAATACAAAGCACAGGCTATCATGACAAAAATCAGCAAACATTTTGCCTACATGTTTTGGTCAAAAAACAATACAAACAATAATGATACTGAAGGTATAGTTTTGCCCCATAAAATGTAGGCAATAAAAATAAAACCAAAAATAATATAAATAAATGGCTTTCAAGAATTGAAATAATAGGAATAATAGGGAATATTCTTAATCTGATAGATACTGCACAGAGACAGCTTGTCCTCTTCCTTCTGATCACAGTTTTTACATAAAAACAGCCATTGTGCACTCTTAGAGACCCCATCACAGTGGCCTACAGGTACAGCATTGCTTTTCTCACAGGAGCAGGAGCCACTGCTCACAGGCCCAGGACATTCACCAAGCTCTTCAGGTATTGGGGCCCCAGGTGCTTGTGCCCTGTCCACTCGGGGATTAGTGGTGACAGAGCAGAGACTGCTGCTGCCCCCAGGTCTGAGACCCCAAGAGCACGCTCCCCTGGGCCTCACCCAGTTGCTTGTGCTCCCATCTCACTGGGGCCCTCGTCTCAAAACAGGCACACTATGAAATTCTGCATTGGAAATCTGACAGTAACCCACATAAAGAGATTTTATTGCTAATGGCAAAGATAAAAATGTATGTGGGAAGGACAAACAAGAATTTCTGCCACTCTAGTGAAATATGCCTTGCCACTGAGCCAGAGAGAGCTTGCATGACTAAAGTTATGCTTAGTATTAAATTACGGGCTGGTAATGATAGCATGAGTTTAGTTATCCGATGGGGATGCTGAGATTTGGAAGTTGGCATTTTCCACCAGCCTACTAAAACACATTATAAAGAACAAAAATGGAAATTCACTTAGCCAGTTAAACTAAATGATTACAAGCATCAGTATCAAATTTTCACCAAAGAATTTCAGTACCCCTTTTATGAACTCTAATGATGATAGCTTTTCAAGAAATGGTTATCAAGGCATCCATCAAATCCAAAATGTTCTAGAAAAATAAGATTCAAATCAGAAAAACAATAACCAAATTTACATGCCCCTCGAACTTTTTGACTTCAAAAGTCTTCATTTCGCTTCATCATATTTTTTTCAAAAGTTAAATATCAAAGTTGTACACACTGAACAATAAGAGATAGCCAAAAATTACCCTGAAGTTGTTTTACCTCAGAAACTCACCTGCCTTCCTTTGTGCGTGGCTTCATCACCTGGCCTGTGACAGTTTGTACAAAGACGGTGAGGCCGGAGACTGCACCCACACAAAGACTGAAGGCTGCTGCGGGGTGGTTTGCAATATTTCCTTGCTAAATCTGTTTTCTGTTTCTTAAAATGTTCAATAAAGACACCAACGCTTAGTATACATGCAGGCAAACAATCTATTTGCTACATTCTGCAACAGGTAAAAATAATTAGAAATTTAAAAATATAATTCCTTCTGGCAATCCCAGATAATTTAAATGCAAACTTAATTCACAGTTTTGAAAATGTGCTATCCACACTTTCTGTCCTTTCGCAGTGGCAGCACCCATCAGTAAAGGTGACTGCACACCTTCTGACTCTGTCCCCGAGGCCGCGGCTCTGCCGGGCTCTGCTGCCACCCTGGATGCCCACTCCTGACCCGAGGAGTGTGCGCCTGTGTACGGGTGTGCAGCGAGGAGTTCACCGCCCGCTCTCACACAGCTAAAGGAAGAGTCATGACCCATCCTTGAAAACAAAGCAGGAAGAGGGTGGTGCTGGCTGTTTCCTTCCTGCGAATAGTGCACAGGAGTTGATGACAAATACCAGGATGGGACCTGCACAGAGCCACCTGTCGCAAATGTTCAGGTAGACCAGTCACCCGGAGGTCCTCTGCTAGCTGACCCCTTGCTTTAGGGAAAGGCCCTGACGCTCTGTCCTGGAGGTTTATCTTCACCCATATCAAGCAGGGGCACCTCTGTTCTGATGACCGTCACATTACTCCAGTCTTTTAAATAAGGATAACCCAGGCAGTCAAACTATTAATTCCTTTTTAAACCACCTGAATAGTTTCTCTGCTGTGAAAAACTAGAAATGTGAATAAAGATAAAAATATATAATTGATACGTGTAATAGGAAAATAAGGTCTAAAAGAGTAGAGGAAGTGGGAGGGGTAAGGGAAAGGTAAAAAAGGAAAAGAAAAATGGAAACAAAGTCTTTGTAAACAGGGAAGGGTGGAGAGGGTGAGGGGAGGGCTGGGGAATGGGGAAAAATACGAACCAAGATAAGTCATGGAAAGGTGCAAGATCCCAGTGATGAGTGTTACTGTACTGTGTACCTAAAGTGAAGCAATAAACTTAAAAAAAAGAAATAGTAGGGAAAAGAAAAAGAAACAAGCTATTTCCTATATAGCAAAAAAGAGAAGAATAACAGTTCACTTTCATGAAGAAGAAGAAGAGGAAGAGGAAGAAGAGGAAGAAGAAGAAGAAGAAGAAGAAGAAGAAGAAGAAGAAGAAGAAGAAGAGGAAGAGGAAGAGGAAGAGGAAGAGGAAGAGGAAGAGGAAGAGGAAGAGGAAGAGGAGGAGGAGGGGAGGAGGAGGAGGGGGAGGAGGAGGAGGAAACAGAGGAAGAAGAGAAGAAGCAACAGTACAATAAAATAAAATTTTAGGTACTAAAAATTTTTTTTAAATCAACCTAGATTTCTAAACCTAGTGAAAAAAATTATTTTTATTTAAAGATGTTGGAGAAATATTTTCTGAAGTAAACTTTTAAAGAAACTCATTGCCAACAAATATAATCTGTCAATTAGATTCTAATAAATTGATTTTAAATGAAAACTTTCAGTCAAAAGAAGTAACATCAATCATAAGTTTCCATACACTTGAGTAGTTAGTGTAGAGGGTAGGAAATGGAGTAATTGAAAGAAAAGAAAATACGTTTGCTTCCTTAGTTGTAGATACCCTAAAAGACATTTGTTTAAAGCAAAGCACGATGGCAGCGGTTGTGGGTCAGCAGCACTGATCAAAGGCGCTGCTCGGCTCTTCCCGGGGCAGCGGTGTTACCCAGCTAGGGCATTAGACACACCCATGTTGCAAAACTGAGAGAAACCATTAGCGTTTTTCTTAAAGAGCGCAAATAACAAATCAACAAAAGAGGCAAACTGCTCAATATAATAGAGTACAAGGAAAAAAAAAAACAGCACAAATGTGAGGCAAATAATCACTGAATTTTTTTTTTTTTTTTTTGTACCGGGGATTGAACTCAGGTCTTTCGCTTGCAAGGCGGGCGACAGAACTGCTGAGCTAAATCTCCAGCCCATAATCACTTAAATATTAAAGTTAGAAATAGCTATGTTAAAAGGATGACATGATAAAACTAGATATTTTTAAGAATGCGCTTACACAAACAAAGCTGTAGACAAGGAACCCGTGTTAAATATAAACACAGTGCATTTGCAGCACAGCAACCTGGAGCGCACAGTGGGAGAGCGAGGAGCAGCCAGGCCAGGAAGACACCGCTGGCAGGAGCAGCAGGGAGCAGTCACAGGTGGGGGCGCAGAGGGGCGGCGCCAGGGAAGGAAGGCGATGCTCTGCCCAGAGCAGCTCGGCAAGAGCACGTCTGTGAGCACGGATCCGGGAACGGGAGCCCCAGACTGCACAAAGCCAGAGGAAAGGCGAAGACTAATGCAGCTGTGGGCAGAGCCATTAAACATTCCTCTTTTGCGCCGGTGGAGCAAAGAAGAGGGACTCGGTCATCACACACAAACCCGATTGCTAGCAACTCGCACATTGCTAACTATAAAGACGCATATTCTCTCTAAAGCATTTACCGAGAGAGGCTGCTGGCAGGCCACTCATAGGCTTGCAAACTATTTTTAAATAAGCGACACATTCGTGGTTCACAAGGGATTAAACTAGAAACCAATGGAAGAAACATATTTAAACTTTTCCACAAATATTTTGAAGTTAACCAACACATCTATCACTAGTGCATGGGTTTGAAGAAGTTTTTAGGAAAATTTAGAAGTATTTTGAACTGGTTTAAAAATACAACATGTCAAAATGTGTGAGACATAGCTAAAACGTTATTTAGGTGATTTATATCCTAAGATACTGTTTTAGAGAATAATGATCTTACATCACTGAAATGATTTTCCAATTTAAGGAAGTAAAGAGAGAAAAGCAAATAAAACTGAAACAAGAAGAATGAAGGAACACAGAATGTGTTAATTTTAGGAATAAAAAGGGAACATTACAAATGATCCTATAGACTTTGAAGGGAAATAGGAGAGTCCTACAATTCTATGCTCATAAATTAAGCAGTCTGTAAAAACGAATTGATTCGTGGACTGGGGATTTAGCTCAGTGGCACCACGCCTGCCTCACAAACACAAGGTCCTGAGTCCAAACCCTGGTACCACCAAAACAAAACAAGCATATACTGATTATTTTAAACATGTGGACTAATAAAACTAGCACAAAATAATTACATAACCTCAGTAATAGTTGTCTATTAAGAAGTTGAATGTAGAGTTAAATTTCATAAAACCAAAGGAACTCCAGACATAGATGGCTTCATTGACAAATACCATTACATATTTGTGGAAGAAATAATATTGATTAGATACAATTCCTTGCTTAAAATAAAAGAACAACCCCAAGCCTGTTGTGTTAGGTCAGCAATACTCTAATAACAAAATTAAAGACATGAAACTACAAACCTATCATCACGAAAATGTGCACAAAAATCCTCAATGAATTTAAACCAACAATATAAACAGAGAGTTAAACAGTACAGAACTGAGTTTAACTCCAAGACTGTGATGTCCATTCAGTATTTGAAAACAACAGTGTGAGCCACCATGCTAACAGACTAAGGAAAGCCTGCATGTCCCAGCCACGACGAAGAGGCTCTTGATGAACGTGAAGTCACCTGGTGATGCTCCCCATAACCCAGGGACAGAAAGCAGCCACCCTAGCCTAACAGAGACGTCTATAAGGCAGAGGAATGGTGGAAATCAGTACCTGACCACACAGTCACCTAAGAGACTGATTTTTATCCCTAAAGAAAAATGTCATAGTCAGCATTAATTTTCAGGTCCACGTCAGTAAGGCAAGATACAAACTTATGAGGCTTACTGAATAGAGAAGGCGATTTCTTGTTGTAAGTAACATGATTATGTAACATAGGATCTCAAAGAATCTTCTGAATGCCTGCCAGAACTAGGGTATTTTTAGCAATATCATATGATTAAAAAGTAAGTGGAGAAAACCATTCTGATTCTTACATACCAGCAATGAACAACTGGAGTTTGGAATTAAAGCAAGCAAGCAAACCAAAGTCATCTTCACCTTAACCAAAAAGTCATGGACTTGATATTAAAAGTGTCTGCTGACCATGTATGCTCAGCCTTAGAAAACAACAACAGAAACAATGAAAGAGAACTTTTCCTAATGGAACAGTCCCATCGCCACGGAGTCCCCTCCCCTGTTTCCTGCCCTCTACCTTTTCTTTCGCTCTTTAAATTATTATATTTTAGCTTCTCATATAAAAGACACCATGCAATACTTAACTCCCTCCTACTTCTTTTCTTCTTATCAGTGTTGGAATCACTTTTATTTATTTTCCCTTTTTCATTCTAAACTAGTGGTGCATAACATGAGTTTGGCTTGTGCATTTGTTTTGAGACAGGGTCCCACTATGCAGTTGATGCTGGCTTTGAACTCACTGCGCAGCCCATACTGGCCTCGTACTCACGGCGATCATCCTGCCTCAGCCTCCTGAATGCTGGGATTACAGGTATGCGTGAGTGATAACACCAGGAATACAGCATATTTTGATAAAATACTCATAAAAGAATGATTGCTCCAGTGACTGCTACCAGCATGTAGGTGAGTGATGTAACATAGCCACCCTTGGACACAGTGACGTTTCCCCTGCAGTGAAGGCCCCAGAATCTACCCCCGGAGAGAAACCCCAGTGGTGACAGGTACCACGAGCTGCCTCACGTGACTCACTTCCTCCTCTGGGCTGACGGCTCTGCTGGGGACTTGCACAGGGCAATCTGTGAGGGTCACCTGCTCCTGTCCTTCCCCCTCCCCATGCCGCCCCAGTTACTCTGCAGCAGCTCTGAACTCCCGCCTCCTGGAGTCCGCCCTTCGTGATTTGCAGCCTTCACTGCTTCCCAAACTGTCTGTTAGGGCCCCCCACCCCCACCCCCAGTGAGCTCGCCCCCCACGGGCAGGGCAGGCACCTGCGTCCCGGTGCCACCAGACCTTACCTGCCCGGCCCTCCGGTCTTCCTGGCTCTGACCCTGCGGCCTCCTCCCTAGGGTGCTCGGCAGAGGAGCCGGGGCCCTGCGTGAGCCGGGGCGTCACAGGGACGGGGAGGGACTGGGAGGGAAGAACCCGGACCGGGTCCGAGTTCTGGGAAAGCTGCTGGCCTGGATGCACCTGTGCCGGAACTGAGTGCAGTCACGGGCTTTGCTGCCATGGAGAAGGGACTTAGCGAGACCTGGCTCAGCCCCTT